GCACCATGCTCGAGTCTCTCCGCGAGAAGAAGGTTAGCGACGACTATGTCAAGCAAATGCCGCGTCGCTGGCGTACCGGTGAGGTATACGCGCCGCACGATCTCAGTCCTCTTGAGATGGAGAAATGGCGCAGGCAAAAGACCGTCACGGTCGATGTCGTTGACTTGTTGGGGATCAACCCCCTGGACCACTACAGAGTATGTTTCACCGGTACCTTCAAAACGCTCTGTCTGCTAATTCTGTGTTGCAGAACTTCTCGATGATTTCCGAGTATATGACAAACTTCGGACAGATCAGGCACAACAAGGAAACGGGACTGAAGCCGACGAACCAGAGGAAGATGGCAAAGGCTATCCGGAGAGCGATTGGTATGGGTATCCACCCTAGTGTGCACCACCACCCCGAGCTGTTGAAGAAGAGATTCCGCCTCAATGCGTCGTGGAAGTAGAGACTTTGGAGAGGCTTAGTGTTTGGAAAGGCTCGCAGGGCCTGTGGATTTGTCTGCGGAAATTGGGAGTCTCTCCCGTGTATGAATTGTACAATATCTTGGCGTCTATTATAAATGTACAGATACAAGAAGCTCCTCCAGTACTTATTGTACACATCATGCCTTCAGAACACGCTGTAGCTTGAACTTCTTCAGTTTTTCGGGAGTGTAATAGTAGCGGAACTTCTCCACCTCCGCCCACTCCTCTGGGAACTGCTTCTTGGCCCACGCCTCGAACTCCCGCTGCAAGCCTTGCCCAGGCAACGCGTTAAATGGAATGCCAAGCCTGTACAGATGTTAGCTATGAAGTTTGACAGAGGTTGGAGGGATGAACTCACGTCATGGCATCAGGCCCATACCCAACAGCTCGCTTCATGGTTCTGATCGTGCTCTGGACCTCCTGCAGATTGCCATTGCCTGCCAGGCCACCGCAGTAGGAAGCAAAGACTGCCGGTGGAACATCGACCTCCATCTTCTCGATTTTCTTCCAGATATCCCTGGCAATCTGGTCGCCAAAGGCCTTGATTTCGCAGAGCGAGAATACAATCTCGAGACTGTTGTATGAAGGGCCTTCCGAAGACCTGACAATGTCCTGCCAGTACTCCAAGGCTATATTCGGTTTCCTGCATGCACCATAGGCAATCATCAAAGCGTTGAAAATCTTCGTGCTGGGCTGGATTTTCGTGTCCATCTTCAGCATGTTATGGACCAACTTCGTGCTGTCCAAGTCGGGACACCTGCCCATGCCTTCCAAACATTGAATGTAGGCTTCGCTCTTGGGGTGGAATGTTGGGTTGACATGCTGCCGCATGTGTCCGAATACGTGGACGGCCATGTCGGAGCGGTTGCGGTTGAAGAATGCGTCCATGAGTAAGAGACGGCTCGCAACACTGGTCTCCTGGAAGAACTGACGAAGGATGCAATAGGCGTCCCATACTCTCGCGGTACTGTTTTTCTTGTCCAAACAGTACGCCACAAATGCATCTCTGATGGATCGCCGTTGTTCGTTGCTGTGTTGAAATACATTCAGCGACAGTGTGTCGATAATTTCGAATTGCTGGTCATTCTTGAGGAAGACCGTGCATAATGCGACCACTGTCTCTGGGTCTAATGTGACAATTCGGTCCTCCAGAATATCCAGCATCTCGCGTATCGCCGTGGAATTCGGGGTTGCTTGGTAGCATAGCGCTTGGAGATACTTGTTGATCAGGGGCAAGTCGTCTTCTCCGTTCAGCTCCGCCTTGGGGAGCTGCATGTATGCCGCCCTGGCCCCTGACAAGTCCTTTGCCCGGATCTTGAAGTCCATTTGGAGAAGGTATGTTGTTGCATCAGGCCGGATGTCGAGCTCGCTTGCGAACGAGACAAGCCTGTCTGCCAAATAAGGGTCGTTCTTCTCAATAGCAACCTCCAGCAGCCCATTGATCGTTTGGGTGTCTGGTAGAAAGGCGCTGTCGTCGGGGTTGTGGCGAGCAACAACATCAAACATGCCTTTGATGTCATCAAGCCCTTTGCCCATGGACAGTACTGCCCACTGATAGATAACATCCCAATGCTCCTTGCTCGGGTTGGCGTCAACGAGCTTCTTGAAGATCGGCGCTGTCCACCCGCGTTGGTTGTTTCTCACTGAAAAATGCAAGATTTCTTTGAAAGACCTGGGGCTTGGATGCTCGATGTTGTGAGCTGGCCTCAGAAACCACTTCTTGGTCTCCAAAACGTTATCCTTCTTGGCGAAGAAAGTTGTCATAACCTCATGAAAATTCGCCGTGAAAGGCAAACCAAGTTTCTCGGCCTTTTTGACAGCTGCCACAAGCTCTGCCTCACGACCTTCCTCCGCCAGCCCCTGCAGGACATTGACCCAAAGATTCTGCGCGCCAGGTCGCTCTGCTTCAGATAATTGGGCCCAGTGTTCCTGCAACGCGATAAAGGCTTCGGGAGATGCTCCAAATAATGTCAAGGCAACCAGGTACGACTCGAAGTCCTCCGATGCCCCAGGATCTGCGGGATCCAATGCCCGTTCTTCCTTGATCGCATCGTATAAGAGCCTGGAGAACTCCAGGTGGTCTTTGGTATCCTCTTTCGGCAACTTCAGCAGCGCTTCCCGCGCGTTCGTCAAATCTGACAGAGTCAGACCTGGACCCGGCTCGTCATCCTTATTTTCGAGCAGGTATTTTAACAGATTACGACAGTGCAAGGCCTGAGTGCTGTTGACGACGATGTTGAAGCGCACTTTGTACGAAAACAAATCCCTAAACGCCTCGACCAATTCTGTTCTAGACGGCGGTCGAACGCTCTCCAAAAGGCGATTTCTCCATGTCAAGACCGTTGTCCACCCAGGCTCATACTCTGGCTTCTTAATTTGTCTCGGGGGCTTCTGCAGGATACCGAAGAACGTCCTTCGCTGGGACCGTCGAGAGAGGGATATCGTCGAAGGTACCGGGAGCTGTGTATGGCGACACGCTGGGCGAGAAAGAATCGAACAGGCAGGGACGCTGCCCCTAGGAACAAGGACCCGTCGGCAGACATGGCGGGCTAATTGCGCCCTCATGGTGTGGGTTCAGTGCTTTGCGCGAAAGGTTCTTGATGACGATCAGTTTGGAAACTATTGACACATGGCTTCAATTAAGCGTACCTGGGCATCTCCAGACCAAATCAAAGTAAGCGCGGCATGTGGTGAAGCGCAATGCCGATATTTGAAGCTCCAGAGATTTGCGAATTGGAATTTGGGGACACTGGAGCTCCCGGGACTTGGAAATCGCGGTAGCTGCCACCAAAATGCGACCCGCGCTCGTGGAGGACCCGCAGATTACCCGTGCTTAGTCATAATTTTGTTCACACCCGGCAACTTCGGTGTCAATGACCTCAATGACATTTAGAACCTCAAGAATCTCTCTTTCGTCAATGGAACTTGAAAGCTACTCCTGTTTCAAATTTACATTGCGATCACTATAGTCTACAAGCTCTCTCTCAATTCTCAATTCGAAAACTGCGTTCTGTAGCAGAGTGTGAATTACACAATATGGTAGTTCCCTTCAGTTCTTGAACCAATCATACTTTACCCAATTCCAAGCATCATTATCGTCAACAGTGGATCCCAACGTTGATGGTTATCCAGGTTGATCTGGATCACTTTAAACGACCGGCATTTTATTTCAAATTGCTTAGCAAGCTAGTTAATACCACGGTCCTAGTAGGCTTATAGTGACTGGAACCAAAACGGGATGGGAGCTAACAGCGATATCCAGACAGACCAAGACCACCGAGGGACCATTCGGCGCTGAATGGCAGAATTGGAAACTCAAAACGGACCGTTTGTGAATGATGATGAGATTCTCATGCTATGGCAAACGTTGTTGTACCGTTGCTCTCTGTGAGCGGCAGGAAGATGCCGATGGCAAGAGTCCAGACGACGCAGAGAACCAATCCCCCTGCTCATGAAGCACGAGAAACGAGCGTGTGTGCGCTCAAATCCGGGTTATGGTCAGGTTTGGCACCTCGGTGTCAAGTGTTCTTTTTCCATTCTTCTTTCTTCGCTGGGCCGCATGAAGCACAAACACGCTCAGACCCACGATGAAGTCAGTGCGGAACCTGAGCTTAGCTACGATGTCATGGCAATTGGTTCATTCAAACTGCTTGAGTGAGAAGCATTTAGAGTGCAAGTGCGCCCTGCGAATTTGTTTTCGAAGGCATCAGCATTCACACTCTGCAGTTGCAAATTGGTTGTAGAAACAGAAAGATCAAAACGACGACGAACCTTGAACCGGTAGTTAGCTCAAGACGTTTACGTACCGTTTTTGTAAGTCCTTGTTAGCGCGAAGCTATGCCTATTGACCATTGCTTACCAAAAGTAGGATACCTGAGAAGAATTCGGTACTTTTTATCCCGCTTCGGAGTGTAGTCCGACCTAAGCCGCCGGGCGGGCTGATACCCCGATAGCTTGACGACATACCGCCCAACTGGCCATTGAATCCTCTGACCTGCGCACTTTAGACCGACGGCGATATGTCAAGATCTCGTAGCTCCAGCCGCGGGTCTCTTGCGAAACAGACAGCAACACCGCCGCAAAGGACGCAACAGCCCAAAAGGAAAAATGGTGGCAGAGATGCCCAGTGCTACTTCTGTTGCTGCTGGTGCTGTTGGATAGTCCTCACCTTAGTCGCCTTATCCTGTGGCTCCGTCCTCCTGATGGCTGCCTCTCTTCCATTGCCGGATTCGGAGCCGCTCACCTCTTAGAACGGGACCGAAAGCATGAAATCCGATAACTCCAGTTTGCCAACGACCAGCTTCATGGCGGTTATCCTCAAGTTGTAACGCTGTAGGATTCCTGCCTCGGTTCGGCAGCCGTGAAGGGCCTTTCATTGCGTTCCAGCCCCCGACACAACCACTTGAGCTCAAGGAGGATGTAATTAGTTGTTGCCCGATCAAGTTGACCTTGGACCTCCGCTCACCCAGCAGCTTTTCCACAAGCCCTTCTTTTCCAATCTCTTTCCATCTTCCTTCGATGAAGATGTCCACCATGCCAGACTTAATCAAGGCCGCTTCCCAGGTCGTTTTATCCCTCGTCGTTATCAGAAAACCCCTTCCGGCGATGGGCCAATCAGTGCCCCGTCCTGGCCCAGGAGAGGTCTTGATCTGCGTCGAAGTCACTGGTCTTCTAGCCCTTGATCAAAAATTCCGCGACTTCGGCGTTTTCAGTATTGCCTCTCGCCTTCCCTTGGTGCTCAGCATCGATATCGTCGGCATGGTCGTCGAATACGGGATTTCGATCGCTCCAAGTGATGTCCCTTTCCCACCTATCGGTACGCGTGTCCTCTTCCAGGGGAATCTTCGTCGACCGCATGCCGGTGGCTTGGCCCCGTACGTTCTCGCCGATCCTCGACTTCTGCTTCCCGTCCCAGTGGCAATATCGTCCCTTCAAGCTGCAACGCTAATCACCAACCCCTTCACTGCGGCTCTTTCTCTGTTCCACTCATCTGGCCTGGAGTTTCCCTTTCCTAACACTGATACGACCTTCGAGTACCAAAAAGCCCATCTCATCGTCCTTGGCGCGGGCACAAACGTCGGCACTTTCATCGTTCAACTTGCGGCGATTGCGGGCATCGGAACCATCATACCCACCTCTTCCAAGGCCTCCTTTGCAAAACTCCGAACCCTTGGGGCAACTCATGTCGTTGACCGGTCCTCCTCTTCTATTCGGTCCGATGTTCAGACCATCCTCGGCTCTCCTCCTTTGCATGTCGTGGAGGCATATGCGTCTGGCCATCCCACTCTAGCCGCCTCTCTTTTCGTTCCCACCAATGTTTCGAAAGCCATCGTCATGTTGTCCTCCTCGACCGGTGCCGACATTGATGCCTTGGCTGAAAGGGGCATTTCCTTGCGCAACATCTATGGCTCCTTCGAGGCTCATCCTGATATGTTCCGATTCTGGGCCTCGGCTCTTTCCAGGTGGTTGTTGTCTGGCCAGTTGGAGGCACCCTCTCATGTCGTAATCCTCAGTGCCGACCCGCACCTCGTCAACGCCGCACTCGATGACATCGGGAAAGGTAGTGGGGTAAGGTATGTCGTCGACATGGGAAGAGAGGATGATGTGGGGGAGGACAGAGGAGATATATAGACGAGAGAGCGGAGGCAGATGGGGTGGACAGCGGGGGGGCAGACCAGAGGCACAGCAAGCTAAGATGCCGGGGGGTTGTACGAGATCCGTCACTCTACGGACGATCTTGTCCCATCATCGCCTAACCTGCTGCCGTCGTATATCGGACGACAGCTCGAGCCAGGATGTATATCCCTCACTCTCTCTCGGTTAAGAAGATATCACCCGATGACCGAGAAGACCGGCCAAGAGAAAAGAAGGAATGAAAGGACGAGGGAGTGCATAGCAGGGGGCTCAGAAAAGAAGACGAGAGATCACCGACTTACCGCAATATAGTCACAATATGCTTCTTCGACCCCCCGCGGGATTCATGTAACACTTTTCTAGTCCTCCCCTCTCATTTGTCCAGTTTGCTAGCGACAGAAGTCCGTTCTAGACTTGCATTGGCTCCTGGCTCCGCCTCTCTCTCTCTCTTCTCCTCTCGTTGCCCTGCTTCTCTTTACCCCAGCCCGTGCCATGAAAGAGTCTAGTTGCTTTACTTGCTTGAAAGCTCTCTTTTGACTTGTCTATGTTTCGAGTCCGCGCGGCATCGTTGATCACGGGGGCGTGTATCAGAGTCCTGTATGGCTGGATGAATACGGTTGATTTCCATCTAGTCCCACGGCTGCAGGACAAAGTGGGTGTGGGAGAATGCCTCCTGAGGCGTTCACGTCTGCGTTTCAGAGTCGCAAGTGCAGCTTGCGCTGACTGGCTCTGGTCGACTTTCGGCGCACCCTCTATCTCAACCTCATAGGACGCCGGCCAGCTCCGCGCTCTATGTTTCTTCCTGGCGCCGGCCGGCCCCATCCAGTGACGGGTCTCAGATTGACGTCGCGTTTGCGTAAGGCTTCTCTGAGGTCTGATATCGGGCGAAGAGATCCTAGAGTTCGTCGGAATGCATTTGTCTGAAGAGAAAGAAGAACAAGAACAGATGGAATCAGAATCGAACGCCGAACAGGAAGATGATCAGAGGGGGATGCACTCGGGGGACAGAAGAGGGGGATTGGAAGAGGCTAAGCCTAGTGCTGCCATCTGAACATCATCCTGATGTCGGTGATCCGAGGGACATTTGATTGACGGTTGACGTCTCGACCGTGCGTCGTCGTCCACGCTCTTTCCAACACCCCACGATGGAGCTAAAGGAAGAGTTCGGGTACGGACTTGCCCTCACATCACCGAGTCGACAAGGCAACCGGCCCACGCCAAGAAACGCAGCTACCGGACGAAATAATAAAGTGCCAACCGGATTCATACGAGATTTTCGAATGGCCCGGCAATATTACCGGCCAGGATCATCACTAGATGGGACCAGGTTGTCGGCGGCCCGGAGAGAGTTCTATTTTCAGTCTGCTTGAACTACAAGCTGATATACTCTATACACGGGTCAACACAGAGACGGTGTGTCAGGAAAGGATCCAAGGAAATGCGGATAACTACCGTGGTCAACTGCACGCGCGTGGCACGAAATACACAACTCCGGAACACCGCACCGGGGCCTGCTTGCTGCAGTTGAGAAGAAACAACGACCATGTTGCCATTCACGCAAACCCTTCCCTTCTCAACTGTCAGCCGAATGGCGTTTCTCTTCACTGCGTCAGATCAGGGGAACCAACAGGCAGGAACAAGGTTGACAAGGAGGGCCAGGCAGGGGACAGCTTCTAACCCCCGTTCCCCGGAGCCGGGGTGGTTGCAGGTGGACAAGATCGCCCAGGCGACGGACAGGAGAGTAACTCAATGGATTGAGATCCTAGGAGGTGTGTGATACACTTTACAGACATTGTTGCCCAAAAGAGTGAGAATGTAACAAGAAAGACGCTTACTGGCACGATAGATTGGTCAACCCGGGCACGACATCTCGACCATGACCGACTGCGGACTTGGGAACGTCTAGGCCGTAGTCGTCTATAATGTCATGTCCGGACAAAAGAGATCTTCAGTATGAACGCGTTGGTAAGTATTGGTTTTCGGGCAACTCAAGTAACCGATGTTTAGAATACAAGATGTAGTGTCACAACTAGGAGCCTGGCTCAACTCCGGACTGCATCGCCTGCTCAAATCTGTATCGAAGACAAGCTGTATTACAGACACGTTACTTCCAATAATCAAGAGGCCGTTCTGAACAGAGAGCCCGGTTCTTTTGGAAACAGGCAATCTACGAAGAGAACCCCTACTGAAGGATTCAGAGTTGGTATTCTATCACCTGGTCCTATAATCACCGGACGCCGTCGTCCGGCCCTGCAAGAAGCAGCAGAAGGAGCACTGCGCGCATAACGTCCGTCCGGGGGCGGCACTATTCCTACCCTGGACGTCCCGTTGTTGATATTGCGGCTCCTAGGCCATGCCCCAGACCTGACGATCAGCACGTTACCGAACCGCGAAAGGCTTAGCCTCTTTGGAGGTACAATGACTGTCAAGCTTGCTTGATGTCTTTTCTTTTCTCACACGGACACTTTATTATTATTTCCGAACGTCGTGTATGTGAGTGTTCTTTGAGCCTATTTTCCATGATAGCTGTCAACTCTGAATCGTAGCCTGACTGACAGTTGTCACTTAGGACAAACTTGAAGTCGACGTCCATCGGAGACAACAACACTTCCAGACAGTCAAGACTGTAAGCAAGGGATAATAGACGGGAGTGCGGGATAAGCGTACAAACTTCCCGCTGTGCATGAACGACTTGTACAGGCAAACCGTGGGGTGTGTTGAACCTCCACCACCGTCGCCCGACGATGCCACAGTGAGATTCACCTTGCCCATCTTGTGTCTCCCGCAGCTAATGTGACAGTCTATCCGGACGTCGACACTTTAGACAGACTGAAAAATAGAAAAAGAGACAGAACTTTGGGAACTTTGGTGGCGTTTGTTCGAAGCTCTGCTCCCCCTCCGTCCGAAGCGCAACGACCCTTAGTTGGGGGTCCGAAGTTGTCAACTCCGTCGAATTGTCCGTGGGACACTACCGCACCGCAAGACAAGGAATAACACGGACATTTCGAACAAAACCTATCCCTTGATCTGCAGAGAGCCATTCCTTTCAACTTTGAAAAGAAATTTGCCCAATCAATTCGTGCTGCAGGTACCGAGATCCCAATTCTTCGCCTGGCTGGGCGGTGGTGGGCAGTCTCCCCGCCCTTCGAACGACGTCGTTTCCCGCTTTCCAATATTTCGGTCTTCTCGGGCAACTCCTCCAGAGCCTCGCACCCGGCGCCCCGGCAGGAAGAAGGAAAACTATCTAGCAAGGGGACCCACCTCATCGGTGTCGGTCGGTCGGTCGGTCACTTTCGGTCGGTTTCCTCGGCGACCCTAGCAACGCGCACTTGCATCATCGCTCGATGGAAGAAAGGGGACGTGGTGACGGATGGAAAGAGAAGAAAGGGCCTACCGAAGTCTCCCGCTTCAGCCTTGCGAAAGACGAAAGATCCAAATCGACAGACGCTTGCTCTCGGACGGGGTTCTCGTTCGGGGCATCAGAAGTCAAACAGCCCAACCCAGATCGAGCCTTCATTACCGACACGATGGGCTTTGACAAGAGATGGAAGACCAGCTGACAGGGGCAGGACGGTGGGAACAGACCTCAGCTTCTGTCAAGTCAAGTCAAGGCCATCATGATACCTGTACCTGTACCTGTACCTGTACCTGGCCTGGCCTATCGTTATCTCCCAGTCATTCAGGCTGCCCTCGTCGAAAGGATGCTAAGCCCTGAGCTGACATCCCCATCCATTCATCCATCCATCACGATGACCCCATCACCAGAAAAGACCCGTAGGGCTGGGCTTAGAATTGAAAGCTGACGTGGGCAGCTCCCAAGGCTCGAACTGGGGTAACACAACACCAAAGGCCCAAAGATTTCCAAAATCCCAATAGACCAACGGAGGAACCTCACACAAGCGTACTGTAGCCCGCTCACCCGCCCGCCATCCCGCATATCCTTGGGTACGACCGTTACCCAAAGATTGTAGCGCCCCGTCACGCACACATCCATGCACACCATGTCGGCCTCGGTCGAGCGAAAAATACGCCTCTGCAGAACACGCCGTGCATCGCCCTTCTGCACATCTGTACCTGTGCGGGTGCCACCACTGCAAAATCCAAAGAAAACGAAATCCGTCCCTTCGCGATCTCGGTACATGTTCTATTTCGAGAACCTCTTTCCTCTTTCGCGACGCGACCAGATGACGAGCTGACGAAGCGAGGCAAGGCGAGGTACGGCGCGGCACGGGACAAGGCAAAGGCAAAGGCAAGGCATCTCGGGACTGGGGGGCATGAGACTTGAGCGTCAAGTGCATGTATGTAAGACACGAGACGAGTCAATTACATCAACGCACATTTGAGTATCCAAATGGACGACGCAAGAGAGAGGGAACATGCGGCGGGGGAGAATATGCCTTACGATCTGCTGGAAAGCTCCTCATGCTTGTCAGACGAAATGGGCCATCCCTTAACGGGCCTCAAGTTGACTTGCCCGCATCCGCATATGCAATCTTTCGAAATTGATCGAGTCTATACGATAGGCAACCAAAGATTGGGGGGGGGGGGGGGGGGGGGGGTTGTTACTTGCTAAGAGCGTTTGCGATGAAAGACGCAATCCATTGAGCTCAGCAATAGTTTGGATGCCTAATGTGTGCGGGATCATAACGGGATCTTTGGTATTCAGGGACCTAAGTGGGCAAGGGGCATAGGGATCCAGGCCCTTCTCAGGATCTAGATAGAGTCGCCAAAGTGGCAATATGTCAGATTCTCTCCAATTACGGCAATATTGAGTCTTTAACGAGATAAGAGGAATCACGGCTGAAACTAAACCTCCATCCATATCAAATCCTTTCCTCTTCACAGCCCACACTCAAAATCCACAATGCCATTGATATTTCCACTTGCCAAAGTTCCAATGTCGATAACTGATTTTCTTCACTGTGGGGAAGTGAAAAGACGTTATCATTCTGCTCACAACTTCCTACCCATCCACCCACCCATCAGCCCCAGTTGTCGTCATTGCTTATTCTGCATGGCCGACCGAGGTGGTCAGCTTTCGAGACATGGTGCCCTGTTGGGCTGCGAGGGCTGCTAGCTTGCAAAAGCCCCGCGGCGGGTGCATTCCCCTCCCAAATCTCACTCGTCTCTTAGCACGGGAGACATTTTGGATCCAGAACTTCAAGAAGTCCTCACCGACAAGCGAACGAGTAGGAGGGTCTTCCGCTGCGCCCCAAGCACGCAAGTCTCGGAAAACGCAAAGCGTGCGCGGGCGATCCTAGTAGGAATCCCGGTAATGCGGGCCTCGGTATTAGAGCACCCCGGTTTGGGTGATGCGGAGCCATTTGTTTGGTTTACGTGTTTCTCTGGGCGCCTTTAGTTCGTACCACGTACCCAATTGTTGTAGATGTTCCTCACAACCCTGGCTTGGGCCAGCGGAGACGGCATAATGAGATGCGGGTGCGACATCTTCGTAAGACCTCGGTCGTGTCGGCCGGCCGGCCGGCCATAACTTCGTTTTTGGGTTGTGTCACAACCAGAGAGAGTTGTCACACAACCAAAAGACAACCTGTCACCAAGCTGTCTCCAATCCAACGGAAACATTGACAGGAGTCAAGTTGGCAGAAGAAATGGCGTCAGACTTCTCCTTGACACCACCAAAATAGGCAACCCCCCTTCAAGTATCCATTGCCACACCGTATCATGTGGTGTCGCTGATGGCAGCATTGTCAAGCTCTTGGGATGACAGGCCCCGTCTCTACACTCTACCGTGTCGAGCGTGTCTACCTTTTCCCACGGGGGGCACTTGGCACCACGCACGCTCGCATGGAGAAGTCAAAAACGGGCAGATAATCGCGCTTGTCGACAGCCTCTCCAAGGGTCCAACCCTGACGGGTTTTGCGAGCCGAGTACGCGCGCCGACGTTTGACGTGGTCCACGCAATGGGCGGATTATCGTGATCCATCCAAGAAAAAAAAAGCCAATCAATTCTAACTTTCATCCTTTGCGATGCTCACTAATCCCCAACTCGCTTCGAGGTGCTTGGTCGAGTCGCACGCCCTACATCTTTAGCCTAACATATAAGTAAAGTGCTTGCAGAATTGCTCAAAACCCGTCGTTTGAAGTCCACGCTACTGTGCGTGTCTGCACGCTCAGCCCAAAAAGACTCATTATTCCCTCTCGCTGGTGGGATGAGGTTTTTGCTGGATTCTTTCTTATGAAGTGTGTGATCCGTCATTACGGGCCTGGAACCAGTCCACTGCGGATGGCATGGACGTCAACTTTTGGACGTGCAGGACGAGCGCTGACAACGACAAGACGACATCGTCAGTGAGGTCGCCGACTCATGCATCCAACGACTTCCCTTCCTGCGATGCCCTGCGAAGTAGCACGCACCATCATGATACCGTAGCGTATTCGTACGTACAATTCTCGCAAAGACAGGGCAGACACAGCAGAAATTCCAGCTGTTGGCGGCCTGGTAGCAGGGATAGATCCGTGTTGTTTCGTTTCAGCTGAAGTCCTTGCCTGGTAGCATCCGATCAGTGCCCACCCTCGTGTCTTCCAAAGTATTTCCCTGCTAGGAAGGTCAAGCACAGAACGCAGCCATCAACGGCGTCCAAAGTGTTTCGACGTCTCTTGCAATTGCCCTATACGGCCTGTGACTGTGTCGTGATCGTAACTGGAGACAAGTGGCGGCTGTCACTTTGTCTGCTGGCCTGCCAACAACTTGATGGTGTACAGCTGTCTTGTCTAGGAAGTCGTTTGACAGAAAGGGAAACACTCGTCTGAGCGGCTCGTAGACTAAATGATCTATTTCCTCTTTGGGACACTAAGCCACAAAAAGGGTTTGGTGATAGCAACCCGGGTCGCCTGAAGCAAAGTCGTGGAGACCGGGAAGCTCGGTTCAGTTGACGGAAGACGTTACTGCTAAGCACAAGTGGATAAGAAAATAGGCTCGAGCTACTGGCCAGGTCGATTAGCTTAGGTAGATCGTAACCTGACACGCCGGCGAGGAGACTTAGGGTGATTAGTGGGTCAAATTATTTGTAGAAAGAAGGAATTATGTGGCTGGAAGGTGTCGAGAAGCGTGGCTCCGCGCCCAATGAAGATTTGGCGACAAACCAACGGTCGCAATGATTTCGGCGGCGTAGCATGATTGAAGAAGCCACCGGGCTTACCGGAGTCAAGATCGGCGCCGGGCTGAAGTTGGGCGTCAGGATAGCCAAGTTCCCGCCGATGGTTTGTGGATAGGTGAAGCCGCTGTGCCGAGTCCACCGAATATACGAACCAGCTCCGCGTAAGTTGATTGGATGTTGTTGTTTCGTGAGGATGAAGTTGAATGTTGTAACTCGGCAGTCGGATCAACAACCTGCAGGACGGGCAAGCCACGTTTGAACATGCAACAGAACGAGATGCGACGAAAGATTACGATGCTGCAAGACTTGCAAAGCCGGCACCGTAAGGCGGGATTAGTGACGGCAGTGGCTGGCAATGGCTCATGGGCGCTTCGCAGTCTCGGGGACGAAGAAGACTGCGAACGTGAAGAGTAACGAAACGCTTCCCAAGGGTGCGTGAAGGCGGGTTAGGACATCATCGGATCTTCGTTATCTGAGAAAACGGGGCTGCCGATTCCACATCGAGATGGATGCAGCGATGAGCGCACATCAGAGCGGCCGTGTCGGATACGGGAGAGTCCCCGTGGAATGGACGAGATTACGGCAGTTGAGTTGATAATCATTTGGGAACCGCAAATGCTTGCAGCATGGTTCAGATTGCATGGCTTAGAAAAAAATGGGAACGGCGGCTTCGTACTCAATGTTGTGCAATCCTAGGTAACGATGAAACGGTGTCTGACAGAGAGCCAAAGTTTCTGTCTCTATCGCGCGCTGAGAGCTCGCATCGCATCAGGCCGAAAATAGGAAACAAGAATTGGTAGCAGCTTGCCTATTGAGTCGTCCTTCAGGCGTAGCAAGGTCACCGAGAGTGAACAGTGCAACCAAGTAGGTTGGCAAGGAACGGCCGACTCATGAGCGGCTCAATCGCCGCTTGTGTCCCTGTCAAGCGAGCCTAGGGAGGCTGACGGAAGACTGGTTGCCAGGGTTGACCTGGGCCGTCTAGGCCTCGCAAAATGCTGGCAATACGAAATCGCCGAGTCACCGTTTCGACCGTCAACCTGCTGTTCTGAGGGTCCTCCCTGGTGTGCCTGGTTCCTCATTTTCATTAGACGACCGTCCGAGCGGCGGTAGGCTCTGGCGTCATGGTGCAAGCGCTTCTCTTGGAACAGCGCGAAGAAGAAGGTGAGGCAGCCGTCGTGAGCCCGTGAGCTGCTTGAGCTGCTTGAGCTGTGGAGCGATATGGTCGGAGAATAACTCCTCGTCCCAGGAAGATGCCTGCGAAGTGCACCATGATTCGCCCGCTCGGTCCAAGGCGGGGGAGACGTATCTTGTCAAGAGGCGCCGAGCCCGACATGGAAGAACCTTGCCTACAGGTGTACAGTGGTAGGGCGACAAGCGGCCCTGGTAACCCCAATCGTGCCCACCCCTGGGCGGATCAGTGGATACGACATCTATCTTCGCGTGCGGTGGGTGGACTATGGATCGTGGTACGGATGGTAATACGGGTGGATGATGCCAGAATAGGGGTCCAGACATTCGGTCTCGGATCAATCGTCTGTCGTTCGCAAATAACTCGGGAACGAGAACAAAAGACATTTGCCTGACCAACTCTAGCTCGAGCTGGCAAAAACGCAAAGCTGGGAATTGTCCCATAATGCCCCTGCGAGTACTCACATGCGCCAGAACTTCTAGCCGCATAGCAGTCGGGAGCGAGATAGGAGCGCGCTAGTAACGACAGAAATATCCAATCCCATCGCGAGGAGCTTATTTTTAGCGTGTGGTGGCGGCGGATAGCTGTCGCCGCTTTCTTTACTTACTCGTCGAGGTTTTGCGTCCGACATGGCCTTTCTTATTCCTGGAGTGGTGACATGTAGACTTTGACTAGACTCTAGACTTTGGAATAACTCAGAGTTGGGCCAATGTTGAAGGCGCAAGTAGACCGAATAGAGGACTCTTGCGAGTTGCTTCTTAGATGCTGTTGGACTGTGCTGCGACATTGGATCTCTCTTGTCTGGGCTATCGGGCTGCAGATGGCAAAGCAGGTCTGCGGCGTCTGATGATTGTTGTTATCATTGTTCCATATTCGGGTGCAGAAACACGACTCTCGCTGATTAGATGCGCACAGCCAGGGCTGGTCTGTGGAGATGTTTCTCGAAGCCGCTGCCGTCGAAGTGGCGTCTGTGGATTCAAGCTACACTAAGCAGACATTTGCGTATGGGACCACGAGGTAACGCCATCGAGGATTCTTTGTCCTACCCACCGCCAAGCGAGCGGTTGTAGGGAGCCACGATCAAAGAATTGCAACTCGGTTGCCTGACAGGGAGGTGAGCCTCTCGAAGGATCTTTGGAGGTCCAGAGATGAAATAGAAGGAGCCGAAGAAGACTGGCCACTTCAAGAGCGGAGATGTGAGTGGGCACGAATCGAAACAGGTTGGTAAGGCGTGCCGCGTGTTGTGTGTGGAGGGGCCGGGGAGGATGTCCTAGATCTGATCTGACTGTGTGTGTTGACACGCCTTGCGCCTGTATTAAAATATCGATGGAGCATTCCTGAAAGACCACGAAGGTTTTGTGCGGGTTGTGCGGGATGTGCAGCTCGTGGCTCGAATGCCCCCCCCCGGCTTCCTTTTTTCAGCTTGTGATGATGGCTATCTTGATGTTTGGGTGGGTTCTGATCTGGGTCTCGAGCAAATCTCTTTCCGAGATAAGGTGAGATGGAGGAAGCTTAGCTGGCTGTCCCGATGGTGTCGAACATGGATGAGATGGCTCCAGACAAGCCTTGGATAAGCAAGGAGGAGGCTGAGACGAGGAGACACGGCAATGCACAAGTGTGATGCTTTGACTGGCGGATGATTTGTTGTTGTTGTTGCCGCTGCTTGTTGTTGCTTGAAGTCGTGTAGGTGGTTGATCATAATTCCCACAAAGTGTGCACGGATCTCTTCTTCTCCTTCCATCTCTCGAAAATGGGAGGGAGCACCACCGTCAGGCTTAAGCCGATGTGTATTATGTCAGCTCGTGGCTGAGTAAGTTGCAGATGTACTCCGTAAAAGGGGACCCCTCCATTCTCCACTTTTAGCTCGATAGATACGTACCCTGGGAAGCACGACAGATCAGGACGGCCCGGCTTTCGGGAGAGGGCGGATACGTACCGCTAGACCCTCCTCCTTCAACTTCCCACACCCATTGCTCTGTGTCTCTGCTTTCCATCTTCAAACCCCATTGCCTTTCTCCAATCCCTCTCACCAATCCCGCTCGTCCACCCACCATGATCCATCTCTGTCGACTTCATCTCATCTCACACCCTTCGGCGCGGCCGTAACGACACACACCATCTCACTCATCTCCCCCATCCCCCTTGCTTATCCTTCTTCGCCGCGGACCTTTCCCTGCCTTAGGTGCGACCCTAGCGTTTCCTCCCGTTCTCATGGCTTGTCCCGTCTCCCGTACTATCTGCACCACAATTGAAGGATCGTCGTCAACCCGCAGGTTGATCGTTCACCGTTGATACCATCACCGAACCTTGCAGTATTAGCGCAGCCATCGTCGCCCGAAATCGATTCGATTCCTTGGAGCAAATACGGCCCCCTTGAATAGCCTGCTATGTCCGTCAACATCAACTTCTATTCTTCACCAAATTCACGTCGAATTACGATGTGCAACGCTTGTCATCAATGACAGCGACATCTGCTTAAGCATCTGGTCCAACTCGAGTTATCGACGCCAGTCTCTCGCTTCGCAGCCAGTGGTAACTCGTTCAATGCCTTTCTCACATACAGATGTGTTGGCTATCGATTCTGACGGCTCCATAACCTTGTCGTGGCTTTTCTCCGGCAATAATCTGTCCAAGCACATTGACTTACGCATCTATCGCCGCACCAAGGCTCCCGCGCGCGATTTGGTTTACTAACCTTGAGACCAGCACCATCCTGCAGTCTTTCTTGGCTTCAGTTCTTCCCGCTGGTGACTGTGCTGCTGCCCGCTGCAATGCTTGAGATAGTGTCTGATGCTGGACTCTGCGCCAACGTCTGCGCCAGCGTCTGATACTGCCTTTGCGCAGCCTCAGAAGCAGCATGATGCGGCTAAGCAGCGCAGACCACCCCTCGGCTTCAACGGCAGGGCCAGGTATTGACAAAACCGCCCCCTTTGTTTAGTGCTGTCAAATATCCATTTTAGGAAACAGCGGCGCCATTCCCGCGGGTGGAACTGAGGTAAGGTAAGGCAGGCCATCCCACACACTCACATACACACATATACATGATGGATGGGACTAAGGGAGACACACAGGCTCAGCCCAGCCTCCCACACGAACCGTGACGACATGTCTCCCACTTCATTTGCCTTTGCCTGGGATCCGATTGTCATGCCAGTTGGCACAGACCTGTCGAGTGTCGAGGCAGAAACAGATGGCACGCGCCAATGGCCACTCAGTCCTGGTCGATCTGCCCCGTGCCTTGAAACCCGGCAACCCGCAGCTTTCAGAGATATCCCGGCCAACCTACATGTTCAAAAATCCATGCCTCGGCCGGGTCTAGCCAGCAGCGTTCAAGCCCACCATGGTCGACATGGCTCTAGCATGGCTGTCTCTCACAGCGACTGCTCCAAGGTGTTCCCTAGCAAATCAGTTGGATGTTGTGGCCCAAGTGTCGATGACTCTCTGTAGACATTTCTTGGCTCCCTCTAACCTTGCTTTTTCGTACTCGTTCGGCCGGCAAAGATTATCTCTCCACCCACCCACACGCTTCAGTTAACCTTCTCTGACATTGTCTCTCATCTTCATCTCTTGTCTCGTTCTCTTTCGCTTTCTCTAACCACCCTGAGAACGTTCATGCTTACTCGGTTGTTGTCATCTTCTCTTCCACCTTCTCGACTCTTATTACTCGTTGTCTATCATTCTGTTTAGTCCATCCACAACTGGGTTGACTCGCAAGGTATCCCACCTCCCCGACTGCTCCTTCGGGATCATCCCATTTCTTGTCTGTGCCCTGGCGTTTCTGTTTGATCTCCCACCCCCCCCCTCTCCTAGTCTAGGAACTCCCACATTCATCCTCACGAATTTGTACGCCGTATCCTCACCGGCTCGCCGAACGCTCTCTCCCCCCTCCACCAAGACCCCCATGGCCGTCCTTTCTCTCCCCGTCGCCGCCGCCACGGCGCCGCGGCCCCTGTCAAACATAAAGCTTACTCAACTGGGTTAATCAGTACGAACGCACTACTCAGGTACCTCGCACCGTTCCCCCGCCGGTCTTGGCCGTTTTATTGTTGGACCTGGCTAGTGTATGGCTCCAATGTACCTACGCAATACGAAAAGCCGTGGTCTGCTTCAAGCAGAAGTACACACATACGCATACCACAGATCCCTCTTGATCCCATAGCACGCACTACTGTATCCTGTTATGCAACCTGGTGCCTTGCGTGCCTTTGTCCACCTCATCACCATGGTCATTCATGTCCATGTTATGCCCAGGCTGACCCAAAGAGTGTTGTGTGCGCCGGCCACAGACCTCATCGACTTGTGGTAGGTATCCACTCCAAGCATTACTATCTCTTGCTATGCTCTACTTCCAAGACCGATTCCATGGCGGCTGAACACGCATCGGCGCCGTTTCCTTTCTCCCCTCACAAGTCCCAGTGGAGTGCTTGATACCAAACATTCAGAGCCAGTGCCGGGCCACCAAGTAGCCTTGTACCCTCGCTCAAGGATCCATGTTGCACATCTCCATGTGCTCCATTGTCTTGCGTTAAACGACTGTGCGTGCTCAGTCTGCTTTTCGTCCTGAAGCAGGCACCGCCTCGGCCTCCCAAGATCCCATCGCCCGTCACCCACACACTATTACCAACCCTATCCATCCAAGCTATTCCCACTCTGCTGGGAAGAAGCTGATGCCATGCCCAGACCGCTTCCGTATTCGCCGAGCTGACGGGTCCCATGCAACCCTTGCCCACTGCGCCCGGCCCTGGTCCATACATTATTCCTTTCTCTCCTCGACTTTGCTTCCGCGATATATTTCAAAACCGTCCACCCTTTCCGCCTGCTTCGTACCGATCCTGGAGGAACTCTTCTCTCTTACTACTACTCGTTCATCTTCTTCATCGCTGTTACCAAATTCGTAGACGCAAGTTCGTCCAGAACTATTATCCGCAGCGTCATTGCCTTATCGAACCCTACGCCTTAGACCATTCCGTCGGGTCCCTTCTTATTACACGGCAACCGCTCCCAATTCAGAGCCTCCCCTTCCACCTCTTCAAATTCGATACACATTTCTAAATTTATTTGATTGTCCCTACCCCGTATACATCATCGAGTACGTAGCATCGTGTGCCTCACCAATTCAAGCACATCGAACTTGATTACCATCACAACGACAAAGTCTGGCCAAGACATCGCATCATTCGCTTGCAGCTTGATGATAGCTCCTGTCTAGTAACCTCACATCAAACTCGATCGCTTCAGAGCAATCCAAAAATACCGTCACGATGGTCTTCTGCGCATACTGCGGGAAGTCCTTCACCAGAAAGGAACACCTAGAGAGACATATCCCAAGCCGTATGTTGATTCTCGTGCTGGAAATGGTCGAGACCGAGCAAAAACTGACTGTCCTGGTATAGACACCAACGTAAAGCCCCACCGCTGCAGTGCCTGCCAGCTTTCGTTCGCACGACGGTTAGTTCAATATGGAATCTCATCGACAGACATCCACTGACACACCTATGACAGAGACCTTCTGCAAAGACATCACTCAACATACCATGAGGCGCGGGACCCCATGGAGCCGTTGCCTGGCGGTGTTCCCACAGTAGCTGGCCGGACACCAATCGCTTGCCAAAACTGCGCCAACGCAAAGACGGGTTGTGATAAGAGAGTACCTTGCTCGCGTTGCGCAGAGAAGAATCTGCCCTGCGCAGCGAGATTCGCCCGGAGATCATCAAAGGCCGCGGTCAGAGCTGCCCAGGCCAGCGCGGCTTTCCAACCACAAATGATGCCGACTGTGCCCCAACCACCACAGCCAGCTCAGCCTGTTGCATTCATGGACCTCGATCCAACCATGCCCAAGCAAGACTCACCTGGCAAGATGTCAACTGGGTCTCCAATTGCGACCATGGACCCTCGCATGATGGAAGGCCCTGTGAAGAAGAGCTCTCCAGCACAGTCACATCCCAGTTCTGATGACTTCCCATCACCACACAGCCGGGTAGATGGGCTCG